GCTGAGCACCTCGAGGGGATGGCCTGACATCCCTTTCGGCTTTGGTTGGGGTAAAGCTGGCGCTCCTTCTGCTTCCCGTAGCTGTGCGCGAATATATAATCAACAGCAAAGTATTAGATATCATAATAATCGCAAACATAATGCTAAAATGTCGGGGGCGAAGGAAGGACTGGTCAAGTTTGCGGATTGTGTTTCATTTGATGAATTCAAAGTCATTTACTATGCTCGCTTCTTGAAGAAGGACAAGGCGTACGAAATCAAGAAGAAGGCCAAGCTGGAGCAAGCGGCAATCGACATCCGATTCCTCGAAACCTTTGGTGCTGAATCGGAAAGTGACAAAGAGTAAAAATTAAAAACTTTTATATTTTTTTGTTATGAAGAGTATAAAAATGCGAGCTTAAACTACGTGATAAAACGAATGCAAGTACTAAGACAAGATTGTAAACACTAGTAGAAACGGCAAGATCGAACTACTATAAACAACAAGACCATAAGTACTATGACAAGATTTAATGTACGATTACAAAATCGATTGGCGTTGAATCTCTTGGGGGCTCACAATGCATTTGGTTGGACAAGACGAACTTGCTGAGCACCGTCCTTCTTAAGAAGCATGACTAGGCAATCTTTGACGTTCCAAGAACCATTACAAGGTGGTATTGACACAGCAACTCACGTGATCAAACTGGAGACAAGAAACGTATATCAATCTTATTTTAAGAAGTTCTGTGAATTCTGTATCGTCAACGAGTTTCCTGATCCAGTGGTGAAGCGTCATCACGAACTGCCTTCGCTTTTGGTTGCGTTTACCGAGAGTGTATCCGCGTCCAGTATCGTTTCCAATCAAATTGGGGAGAAGATCAGAGCTGCGGTCGCGAACTTTTATGACAGTTACGAGCGCAGAGACGCCGCAGGACCGGACAAGTGGATGGTAATGACAGACGACAGGGGCAACAAATTTGGCCTTGGTAATTCTGCAAAGGATGCGTTCGTTCGCCAATTCATGCGGGGCCTCAAGAAAAGAATGAACAAGGAATTTACGCAGTACCAAGCTACGCCTATTTCTTTGGATATGCTCCGTGTGCTTCACTTTCACTTGACACACACGTCAGGATTCACATAGGCAAGACGTTTGTGGTTTTTGGCGGTATCTTCTTTCGCTTTCTATGGAATGTGTCGAATCAACGAGGTGCTAAGTTTGCAGTGGAAGAATATCACCCTGGACCTGGGCTCGTCCAAGTGCGTCTGATCCGACTTCGACAATTGGCTACGGTGTCTACAAACTGAAAGGGAGAAAGACGGAGGTCGCTGAAGGTTGCTGCTACAACCTTCATTGCTTAGATGAATGCGAGAGTCCAATGGATGTTTTAACTCACTTAAACAAATGGATTGGGTACGTTAATACGAAGACGGACCACAAGTGGAGCGATAACGACTACGTTTTCCCAGCATTGTCCAAAATTGCGAAGAGTGCTATCAAGACTGATGACCCTCATACAGGGTGCGTGAACGCACGTGTGGAATGGGGCAACAAAATGTCTGAGCAGTAATTGCGTCGCGAGAGATCTCAACCGCAATGGAACTTCTGTGCCCGGATACGTTCGCCAACAATGGCGTGACATTTGGTTCACTTCACACACGTTTCGCCACGCTGGAGCACAGTATTGATTTATGTTCGCACCGCCTGAGCGGAGGTGGTCGCTCCGAATGGTGAAATGGTGGGCCGGATGGACTCCAAATGAATCAGCAGATACCCTTGTGCGTTATCTTCTTGATCAAGCAGCAACCGATGACGACGCGCAACTAGCAGACTGTCTTGCACCAGATCGTGGAGCACATGTGGGATGTCCTTCTACTTTTAGGGTCTGTGCGGACAAACCGTGTATGAAGTCCCGTGTAGTGAGATTATATCATGTGCGACACACGTAAAGGAAAGCGGGGGGGGGGGGGGGGCGTAACTAGAATCAGTTGTCCGATACGAAAAGCCGGATGATGGATCCAGAGTACGTCTCGCGCCAATCTTCGCGAGTGTAAGGTGATCAGTGGAAATGAGCTTATATCTGGACTAGGCACTGGAGACTTTATGGCTAGGGGTGGGGTGGGGATAG